CCCCCCCCCCCTCTCCCTCCACCCCCCTCCCTTCACGGAATGAAAGCTATTTTTTGTACTAGGTCATTTTTAAGACCATACCGGAATCTGAACAGTCTTTCCGCCAGAGGGACACTTCAGAAAACTCAGAAAATATGATAGACACACTCAACTCAACCGCACACTATAATTACTGCTTATTAGTCTTACATACGATAAAATAAAAGTAGACACAGCTAAATGTATAAAAATTTGGATCAGCCGATGTTTTAGGCCTTCTAAAGACTACTCACCCTCAACTTCTCATCAAGGTAAACCATTGTGTAGTAGAGTTGATCGTCATCGGCATCAGCAATATGTTTCAGGCTAAGTATTTGGTAGATCTCTTTAGCATAACCGATGAAGAGGCCGGAATTAAGATACCTTAATCACTACTTATATCACCTTGTTCGTTCAATTCATAAGCCACACGACCATTTACCTCTTCCCGAACCCGACAAGAGGATATTCAATTGCCAAAGATTCGTCTGGCCAACAATATGGTTCAGCGCCGAACAGAACCCTGTAGTCTTCGAAATGGGTGAGGTATCGGTCAAGAATTGTGTCCATACTGGCAGTGAAGACTACGTCGTAGCTGAAGCAGTCCGTTTAGTTCGGAAGAGATGTTTTCGTCAAGAATCAGAGAACGGATGGGAACTCACGCATCTACGAATAGAATTATTGTGTCCTGCTCGTTGGCGTACTTTTTCAGTCCTTCTCGAAGAAGACGAACTTTTTGACCGCCACCCTAAAACACATCTGTTCTTCATATTCCACGAAAACTATCAGAAACCATGCCAAAATCCATTGGGAGTAAGGCTTGGGCACTTCTTAATAGTGCTGTTAATTGACCTCACCACGATCACTGCTTTTAATTTTCTTCAAAAGTATAAACTGACCTTTTCAATTCTTGTATCTCCACCATTCCACTCTTCTCCCATGCCTAACACCTCAACTTTGATGTTGAACGTTTTTGCCGATTGCAACATCCTTCGCAGCCCATCGGTGTCTTCTGTAGCGATAGTAACAACGACAACCTTTGGCGGAGGACCGCACCAGACGAGGCCGGGCAGCAACAAAGCCGCCAGCAACACCAGCATCTGTACCTCTGAAAACGTTACTAAACAGTACACTTTAAACCACGTAAGACGTTCCCAATACGAAAGGAGACAAGTCGAAATTCACAAAAAAAATAGCAGTCGAAATACAAGTTTCTTGGGCAAATTCATTGCCGCTATGAAGAAGAACTATCAGTTTTACGAGTTCCTAGGCCGGAACGCAGAATGAGTGAAGATGCTGTAAAGATTCCGAGAGATAATTGGTCCTAGTCTTTGAAGCTCCATTTGTATGGAGACCAAAAGAAGAACTAGGTATGATTTCAATAGGAGGCTTCAAGAGCTTGTCTTTAGAAAGTGTTTGAAGGGCTTCTCAATCGAAAAAAGTAATCCTTCCGAGGGTTTCGTATGACCTTGCATTGCAAGCGCCGGCAGAGTTTAAGAACTTCTATATTCTATGTTTCTATATTCGGCTCTTTCTACAAATGCTGCCCCCAATTTTACGAAATTCTGAACAAAATAATTATGTCCACACACAATATCGAGGGGTACCACGAACAAGGTCTGTGTAAAGGCAAAATGAACTTATGTGTCGAAGTGAACGGTATTCTAAGAGATAGACAGCTGAAGGTTGTCTACAACATTATGTGTGTGTAGGAGTAGATCTTGTTTGAAGAGTTAGACCGCTGCGAGTCTATGACATTCCTTCAAGCGATTACTGAGAAGAGGGATTTTCAGCCCAGTAGCTTGACAACGACGATCAGAACAAGTACATATATGAAGTAAGGTATAGTAGTGTAGTGGTGCGGAGAGCTTGCGTTAGCCCACTTCGAAGGATCAATCTTCACAAGGCCGAATCAATTACCTATCCCATTAGGTAAATCGGTAAAGTACCCCAGTGAAAGCCTTGAAATTCAGAAGTGAAAGCCCAATCAAAAAAGGTCAGAAAAAGCTTAGGGCTAAGAAACTACCCCGGACTGACTTACAGGACAAGGTTAGGGTGACATCACTGTATCAAATGTATAATTTTATTAGATCTTGCTATTTGTTGCATTTAGGCAACTCTACCTCTACATATTTCATGATGGAGCAAACTATATCCGTTGTTTTATACGAACTGCTTTTCAAAGGTCTCTAGATATTTTTATTTATGATATTTTCAGTTCTAGTTAGATTTTGATAAATAAACCTATGCAACCAAATAATTCTGTAAACCAGAATACTCCGTTTTTAGTAATCGAATTGGTTAATATGCAAGGGATACAGAGATTGGTAAGGCAGTTCAATTATGATTTCGAATCACCAAATAGCAGGATTTAATAAAATACTTACAGATTTTCTGAGGTTATGACTGCTACCTGCAGGTGTAGTTCATTTCTTTCTCTTTCAGGACTTTTGAACCTCACTAAGCATAGGCAGTATCCTTTATCAACAGTTGCAGCAATATAGCAAGTGAACAGTATAGATTAAAAGTGACAAATAGGAAGCGCAAGCAAAATATTAAAAAGGAAGAAATCAGAGGCGACTCGAGGGTTTAAAAGAGAAGAATATCATGATTTAGAAGCACCTGATGAGTCGTTTGACGATTCATTTGGAGAAATGACTACTCAAATGTCTCTTTCTCCCATGGGAAGTTCAATCTCCCCAGATCTTGCCGAGTATTTGCACGAATTCTTTCAGAGATTTCATGCTATGATACTTTAATGTGCATTGACATACGATTTTGGAACACCAGTAAATCTTCTTTTCGAAAGATTATTATCACAAAGAGCAAGGCGAAACATGAAATCAACCCAGTTTGGAAAGCACAACTTCTGGGATCAACGAAAAGGGCGAGACCATCCGAACAATTGCACCCTCCACAATTGCACCTCACGTCCCTATACAAGAAAAAGGGTTTGTGAATATGGATCGGCCTTTTTTATTTGTGAGAAGAAGGTTAGAAAACCCCTAAAGCTTGAATTGATCTGCGAAATCAGGCTAGGAGAACATCACTGCATAAGAATGAAGTATGTTCAGAGGACTCCCCAGTTTCGTGACAATAGAAGTCCTCCAGTAATATTACCAGCATGTGAAACTTATTGTTGAGATGACAAGGCGGACCTAGTGACACACTTCTCAAGGCCCTAAGTAAAGAGTATGGAGAGGTTTTCTGAGGAGAAAACGGAATTTGTTCCCAGTCCCATTAATACTGAATTTTTTCTCCATCTATTACAAAATAATTCTTCCCGATTCTCGACCCCAAATCGTAGCCATATTTCTTTCTCCCTTGAACTGTCACATACTATTTCAATAGGACTCATATCCACGCTGCCTATGTGCAAGGTCGTTCAGGAACCTCCTCATGCACTGCAATCCCACTCATAACTTTTGTACAATCAAATGTTTGCCACAGATTTTCTCCGTGAGAACCTTTTTGTACCATATTATTCGATGAGATATCGTAATGATTTTGGATTCTGTTGGCTCTTCTTAACTAATGTGCTCTCAAAACTATGTAACTCATCTACTATGTCCAGCTACACGTAGGTTTCGCCTTGGGTGATTTCGCAGATTGACTCGTCAGTTACTAAAGGCGGAAACGAAGGCAAAGTAAAACTACTGTTTATTATCTTAAGACAGTTTTCATTACTCCAAGGGATGGAATGTATATGTATTGAACATTTCATGGAGCTTCTATGATTTTGGCATCTCTCAATATTGAAATCTTATAAGAAGAGGTAGTTCCTGAAGTCGACGATCAAGCTTTTCCTCTCCTATGGTATTATACAGTAGGCCACCTTTGTGGCCCTATGAGGCGTTTCGATATTTCTAGCCCTTTTTCGTACAATTTATAGAAAATTCTAGCCAAATGTTGGATTGGGGGGGGGGCATTCCTACCGCTCTGAGTCATGAACAAGGTTTAATCGCGTCAGTTGTGTGAATAGGAATGCAGAAAAAGTAGAAATACATGGTGAATGGGTATTTTCCCCCAACATATTCATGAACAATTGCCATCAAACTATCCAGTAGCCATAAAGGATAAAGGATAAAGTTTTTGGCGTCAATCAATCCCGGCTGAAGGATGCGCCCCGCACTCGACTTTACTATCTCACCCGCACGATCAGGGATTCTAATCCCGGATCGATATCCGCCTAAGCCAACCTAGCCTTCCATCCCTCGGTCTATCGGTACCAGAATTGTCTGGGAGGATGAAAGCAATGACTTGTACATCGGCTGGCCACCGCAAGTCATGGCATGGGCCACATACGTACTCACTACGCCACACGATTCTCAAAGTCCAGTAGCTATATATGAGGAAAATAGGGTCAAAGCTGTTTACTCAGATTCTATACGGAGCACATAGAGGATTACCTCAACTCTGACCTGGGGTTAGTGTAATGTGGTTTTTTATGCATTTCTTCCATGAAGGTAAATATTTTAGTTGAGTTTTCACACATGAGCTGCATCGGTCATAATTAATCCAGTTATGCATGATGAGAAGTTCAATATTTCCGTGCCTGCCATCGTCAGCAAGTGTGCTTTCCATACTTATATCCACTTCCAGCGGTCCTCCCAAACAGCCTAGCATCTGGGACCATTCACAAATTAATCGATCTGAGAAATAAGTGAATCAATTTGAAATTCTTCAATCGATCAAAAGCTGATGCCTAGACCGAGATTCTCGGGACCACGTGGTAGCACGCATGCAGTACGGGACGGCTGTAATTTCTCAAGTTTGGCAGCTGGTAATAACGGCTGTCCACCAAGCATTGCTGCGGATTCGCTGGGCTATGATCGATCTGTTTGAAGTAAGCTAGGGAGAGCTCTGAAGAGTCCTTTTCATTATTGCGGTTCAGCCACACACCAGCAGCATTCCTGACAAACTTGGAGACCTTATTGAGACATACAAATCCTTGTAGGGAGATGATCACCCAATAGAATTGTGGCCGTGAAGTGAAGTAAGGTAAGATACGGCGCAAAATAAACCACTTCCATGAAACGGTGTAACGAGTGAAAATGTTCTTCAGATGGAATTAAAGAGGCATATGACGGCACTCCACCGGACCATTCAATTGACAGAAGGAACTCTTCAGAGGAACAGGATTCATGGCATTAGCCTTTGACAGCGTATGGGCAAGCAAATGAGGAGCCATATGGTCGTTCAGATGGGATACTTATAAATAAAAAGTAAAATATGAGAGTTACGTGATTTTGTAAAGCAAGCGCTAGGTTTTGCGAGAAACGCAGCTGACAAATGGCTCTGTTAAAGGGGTTGCAACCCTCTCTCTCACAGTTACTCAAACCCCAATCGGAGATCGATACACCTCAACACCTTTTTCTACAGAGAGGAAGGCAAAGTCTGGTTTAATAATAGACAGTAATAGAATAGCCAGTAATAATAATTATGACAAGGTACCAAAATGACAGTGGAGATACTGATTATAGTCATCAGAAGCAAGAAAAACCTGCTCAACTCAAATCCCAGTCCTGGGTTTCGAGAGAGCACCGAAAATTACTCTTCACACTCCGGTACTTATAGGTCATAAAAGGTTCATATCAGGGACGCTCAGCTCGGACCATTTCTTTTCAACCCATTTCACTGACATCGAGTGTTTTGATGGCCTTTGAAGCCTAGACCAGCTTATGCAGAGATTTAAGGGACCCAACCAATCTTTGAGAAGCCGTAATCCTCCAAGAAAGAACCCATGGCAACTGTTAGACCTTTGATTCAAGGAATTTTGTTGGAGTAAAAAATAATACGATCCGAAAGTTGATTGTGAACGTTTGATGGTGTTCCGGCGATACCGATCAGTACTCGATTTCTAATGATCCCACTTATATCGCAAATAGATGTAGAAACCTCCTCTCCTTCTTATAAAAACATCAAAACCCAATTCATCCAGGCTGCCTATCTTGACCCTTTACTCAAGTAAACATCGTAAAGAAACGCACAGTTCGATGAACACCTAGATAGCGTAACCATACGTACTCTCGTACCAGACTCCTTTACCTACGAAAGCTACGTATCGTTCTACCCCTTCTATTCTCGATTACTGGATGGCAGGCGATT